CGTGTTCCTGAGTCCATGTGTCTGTGCTCAAGTGCCCGGCAGTGACGCCCCAGAGTCTGGGTGCGAGGGTCAGCGTCCACCGTGCCCCTGAGCCCCATAGGGCAGTCAGGGGGTGCAGCCGGGGAACGCTGTTATAGCCCTTCCCCATTTCTCAGCCCCCTGTGAGCCCCACATCTCCTTGGGTGCAGAAAGAGCCAGGACTGTCCTCCTTCAACCAAAGCCCAGAGAAATCAGACTTGGGGCCGAGCTCAGAGGAGGCTTTCCCAAATACTTGCTCAGTCAAGAGGGAAATGGAGACACACTGTTTCAGGTCAAAACCACTATAGAAAGCAAATCGCTTTTTAATATGCAACCAAATACAGTGGGTGAGTTTCAGGACATCTTTTTCTGCTCAGCATCTGCCAACAAAGAAATCACAAAGCGTAAAATGAGACACTGCCATGAAAATAGACATTATACGCATATACACAACATATACAGAGATAAGACACAAGTAACAAGCATGAGGGGTCTGTCTTTGCCCCAACCAGCAGAGCCTGGCAGGGTGCCCCCTCCCCAAGGGCACCTCTTGCCGAGCAGGGAGCTCTCAGCATCCTCCAAACACTTTTTCACATCATATTATGAGTGCCAGGATATTAAAAAGGCTGCTGAGCAGCATCCATTCTGCTGATTTTTGGGTCCACTGATATCTGAGGCTCTGTATCACGGCCATAAGCTCCTTGCCCCATCCGAGGTGCTTCTCCAGGTCACTCGGGGCGGGGGCGGGGTCCAGCAGGTTTCCAGCATCACTTTATTCCCTGCCTGCTGCCAGGATCTCGACTTTTCCTGAGCATCACCTCACCCTGCAAGTACCCCAGGAGCCCTGGCACAAGTGAGGCAAAGCAGGGCATGAAGAAAGACACCCAGGGAGTTGAGGCCACTCCACACCAGCATGTGTACATGCTTGCTGCTGGGCTAGCCCCGCACTAATTACCCGACTTTACTTGTTTAGCAAACAGCACATGCTTAATACCGGTGTGAGAGACGTGATGCTCAGGGTTATGAGTGTATGGAGGGAAGATATGAAGGTCCCCGACCACTCTGACCAAGCTGGCTTATCATGTCTGGCCTTGAATCAAACCCTCACCCGCCTCACCTCATCAGATCTGGGAGAATTTGCCCTGTGGTGACAAAAAGAAACATATTAAAAAATTCACATCTTAGGTTAAAAAATACAAAAGAAAGGGAATTCAACAAAGTGGTTGTGTGGGTCTCCAGGACAATAGTTTGAAGGGCACAAAGCTGGTTTGAAGGAGAGATGCGGACGGCAGTCGCTGCATCTCTTCCTGCCCTTCTCATCGCTTTGGCAAAACCACACTGTCCTGAGAAACCGCTGGAGAAAATGCCGTCGTTCCCCCATCTGATGGCACTGCTGAGCACACGAGAGGAAGACAAGGACAAGCCAGTGATAAACCCAAAGGGAGCTTGGCTGGATCTTCCCCACCCTGCTGGGGAGGGTCCCAGCCTGGTACTCCCTTCTTCCAAAGTCCCTTGGAAGGCTGCTAAAAAGCCCACAATCTCGGACTGCCTCTGCTCTCATCAACTCCCCCTCCCACAGAGACCCTTTAGATGCTGCCGAATTTCTCAAAGTGCTTGGTAATATCTCCTTTTCTCAAGCATCTGGGTCACCAGGGGCTTGGGGGGAGGAGAGGAGGTGGAGAGCAGAGGGAGGGAGGGAGTAAGGAGCAGAGCAGAGGGGTTCAGGCAGACTCAGAAGATGCAGGGGACAGAACTGCAACATGACAAGGGTGGTCCACACACACGTGACGAGGAGACCACATCGCATCAAGAAACAGCCATTCGGTGCTATGTGACTGTAAGGCAGTAGGTCCATCTGCAAGAGGCTACCATGAGCACACGGGCCAGCAAGCAGGGTGTTCTTCCTCAGACCCCAAGATTCTGAGAAACCTCCCTACTGGCATGACTGCATTTCCCTGAAAGACTTCTCATGGAAAAAACTCAAACATAACACAATTCATCCTCGACTGCCTGAAAGGTCTGCTAGGGCATCTCAGTTCAGGCACTGGAAGACAGAATCCTGAGCAACCAGGAAGCATGGGGCACCACTTGCAGCTGCGCATGGCCACAAAAACTCATCATGAGTGGTGACTTTTGGAAACGTGGCTCCTAGTTCACAGCGAGGCTTCAAAACAGGCTGCCACAAATGATGCTGTGCCTGCATCCCCCCAGCATCACCTCCACCTGTGTGAGCTGTGGCACCTCTCAGGTCCTGCAGCCCTCACACCTCACCTTGAGCTGGACCCTGCAGGCACAGGGCGGCTGCCTGCCCACAATGGACACCGATGGGAAGCCAGCACCCTGCTCGGAGGAAGGTGGTGCTCCTGCACCCACCTTTGCAGGGAGAGTTAGTGAGCACCTCAAAACTGAGTCTGGTGAGGAATGAGATGCTCCATGTTGGCTCTGGCTGGGGCAAGGTGAAGCACCCAGCTGCTGGGGAAGGGGTATTTTAGAGGCATCCCTAAGAAAGCTGCTCTCGTGTCCAAAAAGGCTGTGTCCATACTGGCACGCAGGCAGGACAACATGGTCTGTCTGGTGGGTGCTGGGCCCCATGCTGGGCTCCAGCAGGAGTCCACCGTGTTGCACTGGACCTGTCCCACACCATCTCCAAGGAGCTGCCTCAGCCTGCAGCAGCCACGGCTGGTGCTGCGTGAACCATGTGTCCTCTTGGAGCACTGCCTGGTCCCCTTCCCAGGAAAAGCTGGACTCTAGGTGGGGTATCAGGGGTTGTCTGGAGAAGACACCATCCCCTGGCAGCTGGCTGACTCCTAGGGGTGCTGCTGCTTGTGCAGGGAAAGCAGTTTCCTCATCACAGAGGCCCCCAGCCTCACAGAACAAGGACTCATGCAAGCCCCGTGCAGGACAAGGAGCAGATTGTGAGGGCAGCAACCAGAGCCCAGCATCTGGAAGGTTTTTGGGGCTGCCAGCCAGTGGAGTTTGTGACTCCCAGTGCACTGCGGCTGCTTCCAGCTGTTTTGGAGCTATGGTCATCCAAGTCTCTGATGGGAAATCTCCAGCAGAAGCACTCCGACCCAAAGCATTGGCTGAGTTTGCCTGTACCAGGACATTGTGCCACTGAGTCACTGGTGCATCTGAGCACAATGGAGGTGGGCAGCTTGCGCCCACCAGCTTGCACCTGGGCTGACTCTGATCATCAGGAATAGTGTTATCTACAGGAGCAGAGGTGGTAACTCCTGCTTGCGTGGCTTGTCCTGGGTTTGTCGTCTGAAGTGCTACAGAGGACTTGCTGCTGGAGACTTGGACATCCAGAACAGGCTCCACCACCAGCCCATGTGGGTTAAATGGGACCTGCTGTTCTGGTTGAGCAGAGTTCACCTCAGGAGTAACAGAGAGGAGAGAGACCACAGCACCTTGGCCTTGTGCACCAGGTGTCTGAGACTGTGGTAGGGCTTGAAAGGGTGAATGAGTTGCCCAGCAGTGCTGGAAATGAGCTGCAGCACTGTTTTCCTTGTTGCAGGGTGATGCACTGCAGTGCAGGAAGTCCATGCTCTTTCCAGCAGCCTCCCTGAGGAGCATCTGCTCCACGTCAGATGTCACCTCAGTGCCCAGCCTCTCACCAGCCTCCCGAGCTGGCCGCTCCTCCTCTGCACCCAAACTGAGCACAGCCTCCTCCCACCGCTGCAGCTCTGTGTTGTCCCTGCTGAGACTCTGGAGAGTCTGGGAGATGCTTCCATCCACCTCACTCTTCTCGAAGAGGGTTTCGATAACAACTAGCAGGGAGTCACTGTCCTTAGCATCACTGACTTTCTCATTCTCTCTCAGTCCATCGGGCTCGGTGCCGAGATCTGGCAGGGAGAACTGAGGCACATCATCAGTGTGGGAAAAGTATATGGATGCATCCTGCTTCATTATGGCCCCAAGAAGAGAGTTGGGGTCTATTGAGCGCTGCTTTGAGCGGGAGTTTGCTTGTGTTTGCAATTCCTCCTTAGTCTGGAAGGAATCCATGGACTCAGGAAAGTCATTCCCATACAAGATTGCTTCACCGGTGACAAAGCTAAAAGGCAGTTGCAGGTTTCTTTTCCGCAGATGTTCCTCCCCTTCTTCATTCCTTCAGGGTGGAGGGAAAAAGAGATGGAAGCAGCATGAGCAATTCCCCTGGGCCAGGCAAAGCCACCCTTCCAAGAGCAAGACAGGAGCTCACTGCCCTGCCCTGGCTTTTCTAAAGAAGAGGGTGCTGGAGTGCGCTGGCTACAATGCTGCCCACAAGGAGGTCTGCATGGCTCAGGGAAGGGCTGTGTGTCCTTGTCTCACCCCAGGCAGGAGCAAGTAGGTCCACAACTACCGACTTGGAGCTGTTTTGCTGGTGCCTCCCTGCTACAGGAGGGCAGGAGCTGCAAGGAGCTGAACGTGCAACCCAACCACCCTCTCCCTCCAGCCTCATTGCCTCTGTGTGCCTCAAGCAGCCCCACAGCCACCCACACCGAGAGCAGGTGAAGGCACCCAGAGACCCAGTGATACTCACGACAGGGCTCGCTGCCGGGAAATGATGCAGTCAGGCTTGCCCCCTTTGTACACCAGCCAGGCGTTGGCCTGCAACCACACCCAGTTACCCTTCTTGGTCAGCAGGCGGAAAACCGTCAGCCCACTCTCCCCCATCTTCATCACTGGGGCAGGAAGACAAGAGAGGCAGCAGGGACATGGTTACTCCACGAAGGCAGACAAATGGCACATGCAAGATGCCACGAGCTTGAGCATCACCTCACACCTGAGGGCAGAAGACGCAGGATGCAGCCAGTACATGATGCCACGTGTGGTGCTCCCCTGCTACCACCCCCCCAGCAGGTATCACGCAGGAGGACAGAGCGTTTATCAGAGCTGCTCCAGACCCAGGACAGATGGCCCATCAAGAAGCAACGGTACTGACATGGCCAGAGCTGCCTCAGTGCCAGGGAGCCATGAGGGTCCCTACAAACACACCCTGATGGCCCCCTACCAGCCAGAGCCATTGCTCCCCGCCCAGCACTCACTCTTCATGTGGTTCTCTGCGCAGTGCATCATGTCGGCCACGTGCACAAACTGGTACCCGGACCCCATCTGGCACAGCTCCATGTCTGTGTACCCCAGGACAACCTTCCCCCTGCAAACAGTGCAGAAACCCAATGCCACCAGGGATAGATCCTCCAGCTGCACCCCAACAGCTGGATGTGATCTCTTGGCCCAACACCCAGACAACTAGCCAAAGCCTCCCACTGTGGGTGGAGCAACTCTCCACCCTGGGCTGAGCTGCTTTCCCTTTCCATAAACCCACTCCATACTGGGTTTGCTGGGCAAAACCACAGCAGCTAAAAAGTGCTGGCACCCAGTTAATCTGCTCCTCGCATTACTGGGGAGCTACAGCAGATGGCAAAAGCATCAGACACCTTGCCATGGGAGCTGGTCAGATGTGTCCTAATCCCACAGGCTCTAGTTTTCTGTCCAGCACCGGGGATTTTACCACAGAGAAGGTGAGAGATGCCCTACCGAGAATCACAGGCCACAGGAGTGAAGTCCAGCTTGTGCTTTGTCTGGAAGATCGGCATCTTGGTCCGAAGCTCCAGGATGGAGAGTGGCTGAAGGAGAGTTGCAATGGCAAAGAGAGCAAGTGGGGACTCATTCGATGCCTTCTGCTGTTGACCAAGAAGGAATTTCAAGCGCCCGCGGAACTTCAAGGCCTTACAAGGGATTAGAAAACGTGGGCATGAAGCAAACAGGGTGATATATTAGAAAATGTGGGCGTGAAGAAAACAGGGTGACGGGAACTGGCTGTGCTCCAACCCCCACGGGACACGAGTGGCCCCTAGGGAACACACCAGGGGCAGAGGGGTGTCCCCACACGGGGCTGCATTACCAGAAATCCCGAGGAGTTATCCAGCAAGCAGCGGAAGCGGCAGGTGAAGCTCCTCTCCACAAAGGAGGGCTTCTTGGGACAGAGGTGCTGTGGGCTGGACGTGACGCTGCATCCAGCCAGCAGTGACTGGTCGGTGGGTAAGGCTGGGAAACCAAAGGGAAAATGAAGCTAAAGGGCAGTGAGACACTGGGACAGGTTGCCCAGAAAAGTGGTGGATGCTCCCTCCCTGAAGCATTCAAGGCCAGGTTAGATGGGGCTTGGAGCAACCTGCTCCAGCAGGAGGTGTCCCTGCCCATGGCAGGGGAGTTGGAACTAGACAATCTTTCAGGTCTCTTCCAACCCAAACAACTCTGTGATTCTATGATAAGCTTTCCAAGCTGTGCACCTGGAGTCATGGCCTTGCAGACCTGCTCTGGGGAAGACTTTGCCGCCCAAATAAACCCACGACCTTCACAAGACAGGTAAGACCCTGCCATGTGAAACTACCTGCCTATCAATGCCACCACAAGGATTTTGCAGCACGGGGTGGTCACGCAGAGGTGTCTGGCTGGTTCACAGGGATCAGCCCAGCACTCACCCTCAGCAGCGGACGCCGGCACCCTGTGCAGCTGGCAGCGGAAGGCAGCTCTGTCGTCCGCATGGATCAGCTCATACACGCTCTGGTAGATGAGATCCGACTGGAATGATACAACAGGAGAAGAGCCTCAACTCCTGCCCAGCCTGGCAGAGGTGTCTGGAAGAGGACACGGCACAAGGCTTTCCTTCACAGGTATCAGAAGTGCAGCGATTGGGTGTAAAGAAGCAGGCAAATACAACCAGCGTTGTGTGCCGCGTGGAAAGCAAGTTCCAGGAACAGGCTGATTTTTTTGAGAGGGTAGCTCAGGAAGGAAGGAAAAGGGAACAGAGAGGGGGTCTGCCTGGGGAAATCATGGGAATAGCTTGGAGGTTTCTAGAAGCAACAGAAAAGACGACATCAAATAACCCTGTCTGCTGAGGACTGTCACACTGCCTGTTTCCCCAGCATCCTCTGGCCATAGCTAAGCAGAGTTTTCCAGCCTGCTTCCCACAACAGCAAGGCTGGGGCTCTCCTGGCATCACCCAGCCCTTCCAAGAATGTCTAACGCTGAAGCTGGCTCCTGATCCTTAACTGCAGTTATGGGAAATGCTGAAATCTCACGTCCTTTCCCTGCTGTGTGCATCCCTGCTCTTTGGGAAGATTTGCTCTCCATCTGTGGGGTCAACGTGCAGCAGTGGCATTTGCCTGGCATGTCTTAACTTCCAGTATCTTCTCCGGACCAAGTTCAGACACAGAACCAGAAAGGTTGTGGGTTGTCACAAAGGAATCTGCCTGTCTGCAACAGCACTCAAGATCTCTCTTGCGTTGCCACCCCTAGACCTCTGCAAACAAGCAGTTTTGTTTCTTCCACAAGATCAACATAAAAAATAATTTCAAGGTTGATCTAAACATTCTGACCTGACCAAACTATTTTTTTTTTCTTAGGACTTATGCAGGTGTATTTCCTGTTTTAAAAAAGTTTTTTTGTATGCTTTTCTTTTTTTACTCCAAACCCAGGGGAATCTCTATCTCAGTGCAAACCATCTTCCTTCCAGACGTGGGCTGCATCCATCTGTTTACAGTCAGGCAAAAATGATACCCACCTGACGAAAGCCCAGGTAGTCCTGCACAGTAGGGGAGATGTAGAAGATGTAGCCATCTCCACTTACAGCAATGACAAATCCATTGAGTGCCTGAAAGAAGAAGTTGAGCCCAGACTTAGTCTCCCCACCTTCAATCCAGCTACTGAAAGATGAAGTTCTCCAGATGTTTCTTCAGCATTCAGGGACAGGAAAGGGCCTTCATCATTGTTGAGGGTTAGGGCTGGGCTGGCCACTGAACGCTGACAGATGCTCCCTAACCCGTCTCCCTCCTCAAACAGGAACAGAAAGGGAATGAGGCAGAGTGACTTACGGATTGGAAAAAGAAAATTAAACAGCTTTAATAAACTAGTAATAAAAATAACGAGCTATACACATATTATACAAACCCGATATCGAACCCGACTCCCTCCCACCTGACAGCAATCCCCATCGATGCTGCAGAGCAGGCGGCACCTGGGAAGCCCCAGACTCAGGGGAGTTGGATACAGGAGCTGGATTCAGAAACTCAGGATCGGGATCAAAGGCAGAAGATCAGACAGAGTCCTTCCCAGGTGTCAGCCACTGAAGAAGAGAGATTAACTCCCATGATCCCTCAGTCTATTCTGAGTATGATGTATATGTAATGGAATACTCCTGTTCTGTCTGTTACTGCAGAGGTGCCACCTTTTGCTTCCTTGTGACCCTTTCACTTCCCAGCACCCCCAGCGTGGCACACAAGATCCAGCAGTGACCTTGGTCACTACAGGAACAAATATAAGCAAGAGCCTTTCTGCATATCAATCCCAGACAGCAGTTATAAAAGTCAGGCATTGTCACTTCTGATAGCAGACACTGTCTGCAAAACCACGCTGCTAACTTCAGAAAGTGCAGCCTCTTAGAAGAGACTGAGCTGAAAAGTAAAATCATTGTGGTTCTGTCCAGTTCAAACCAGGAAAATCATCAAGGAACACCAGAAAAAAAGGAAAGCACCTTGTGACCATGCGAATCTTCTAAACCTGCTTAGTCAGGGCTGGTTCACTCCCACCCAGCGTTAGCGTGAGCAATGATCCAACACAGACTGATCACTTTTTCTAGACCCATTGTCAAAGTCCTCTCACCGCAGGGCAGCTCCTGCACCAGGAGGGACCAGCTAAGGAGGTTTTGTGGAGAACCTGGTTAGCTACCTCCTCTCCAGCTGTACCAGCTGGATATAGTTTTACTTTTCTGGAGTTCTGATTTTCTCTAACAAAGCTGCCTACAACTTCAATATGAAGCAGCAAGAGGCGGTGTGCAGGGAAGAAGGACTGTCTCGAGGCATGCAGGAGCCTGGTGACTCCAGGAGGACCCTAGCGTCAGTCCAAGCATAATGAAGCCTTCAGGGATAGCAACCAAACTGGAGTCAGTTACTGACCCAACCTATTTATCCACATGTTCTTTTTAAGGATGACCTCCAAAGACACTTTGGGCCTTGCTCCTCATCCTAAATTTTACAGTTAGGAGGTTATACAAGCTAATTTCTGCATTTCTGTATGTCTTCTGCCCACACTTTCTCCAACTGCCCTCCAAAACCTGCCTTTTAATCCCTAGCACCTGAGGACACTGTTATCCCTCAGATTCCTGCTCTCAGCCCCAAGGGTACATTAACAACTCATCACAAAGTAAGACCAAATCTGGCTATTGCTATCATACAAAGATGGTAACACAGTTAAAAACAACACCCACCTTGAAAGCAAAGGAGGTGGAAAAATCTGGAAACTCAGATCCTAGATTTGTGAAGGCCCTGACATTGCATCTCTAATACCCGATGTGGCACCCTGGTCCTTATAAGCGTGCAGACTATCTGACACATCTCCAAGGAGGTGACAACTTCCTGCTCTCATCTGTCTCCCACTACACAGGACCACAGCCTCTTCTCATTTGATTTTGTTCTTGTTCCTGACAAACATCTCGAGAGGCCCCTGAAATGCTTGTCAGGATCAAACCCCATTGCCCCTCAAATATGTCCTGGCATTGAACAGCCGCTGTAAGCCACCATATTGCGAAAATTACTCTCCTCTTGTTGATATTCTAAATGACAGAAAATAACGGTTTAAACACAAAATCTCCAAACTTTTATTAAAAACCATCTTTGCACTCATACCAGCTGCCAATTTCACTTCTTGCCCTGCATTCTTCAATTACCTGCATATGGCCTACAGCTAAATCCACACCCAACTGGTAGCACCTTGCTTGAAAAAGACTAAGCCTACACCAAATTAGGGAAACTATTCCACAGCTATAGGAGGTCATGGGTGGGGTGGAAGGAAAGGAGCTCACACATCTAGTGAATACCCAGAAAAAGTGGCAAAAGGAAGCTATCTAGTGACTATTTCAGGCTGATTTCCTCCAAAAGGAAAGTACTGCACTACATAGTAACTCCTGTCCCCTGATCATGTCTGTAATAGATATATTAGTGAATGAAAGGAGAGAAATTAGGAAAAGAAAACCCCAAGTGGAAGTCTGTGTTTAATCAAGATGAGGGCAGAAGTTTCAGCAGCTCCCATAAGCATTAGGCCAGGTTCTGCCACAAATATGGACTCTGCTCTCGCTGCCCAACTCGGCCGTGCCAAGCTGTCCCCGCAGGGGGACGCCCATGGGGACATGCTGTTTGCTTACAACCAGCTGGAGAGAAGGGTCCAGCCACCCATGCTGCTCCTTTGGCTGTGCTCACAACCTCCTCCCACACAAAAGGAGGCAGAAGCCATCAGCTGAGACAGCTCATGCATTTGCCCATTTACAGTGATGCTCAGGCTCGCCTGGGATAGCTTTTTTTAGTCGCTTGGATTATTTGAGAGGCTGCTGGCTTGAGCCAAGTTGTTTGATACCATATAGATCCAGCTTGCAGTGGGACTGGTCCCTTTTTTTTGTGCGTTGCAGCTGCCTGAGGGACTCTGAGTCAGTGTTTTGCAAATTACAGTATCTGATTAAAATGCTCTTTGGGGGTAAAAGACAACACACCAAACATCGGCAGCCCAGCTGGGGAATTTCTGTCACATTAACACCTCATAAGCTCTACAGAGATGCCTTAAATCACTCAAGGCTGCCAACGCTCTGGTGACTCAACAAATTGCCATCGTATGGTCCAGCTCACACCTCCAGAGAGTGCTCAGGAGCAGCTCCATTGTGGGACTGGCGCAACCACAGGCTCCCTCCTGGCTATGCCATTATTCCAGCTGTTCCTTTGTGACTACCACACTTGCAGGCAGCTGAGAGCACTCCTGGGAGTGAAGTGCACATGAGAGACTTCATGTGGGCCAAGCTTCATCACCAAAAGTCAGGCTGGGCTCCCAGGAGCTACCACCTGAGCAAAATCCCCCACAGGGGCTGCTGGGAGGGCTCTGATCACACCTGACTGTCTGCCTGTAACGATGGGCATTTGTGTAAGGCTGTGCAGGACCAGGGTTGAAGGCACCAGAGTCAGACTTTAAGGCGAGCCAAGCATCCATCTGCTGGTGTTTGGAGACGTGGAAGAAGGGAGAACAGGACTAAAGGCCCAGAAAGTACAGATATATGTGGTGTCAGGAATATAGCCATAGAATGACGTGCCCTGCAGCCCCAAGGAGCAGTACATTTTAAGTTGACATGCCCAGATGTTTATGCAGCACCTAGTCTTTCCTCATGACCTTTCTATCTCACTTCCTTCCAGCTTACGTTTATAAATTGCAGCTCAAACAAACAGTTTTCTGGCCAGCTGATTCACCAGCTCCTTGGTCTCTGAAACTCAGTGAGAGCTGTTTTCCTTAGACACACACTGGCCTTTCTACAAAGCAAAGCTCCCAACTCCCATTCTATCCCAGTCCCCAACCTACAAACTGAACCTGGGCTTTTTCCACCCCAGGCAGAATATGAACACATCCTAGGGACTTCAGGCAATGCCTCAGGAAGGGCAAACAGTTCTTGGTGGATGTTTTATCCTGCAGCTATCACAATTCTCCTCTTGACATTTACTAGAGCACAAGGAACCCCCCACCTAAGAGACTAATCAGGGATGAATCCCTGCACTGCTGTAGGGTACTCCCACACCGCTTGGTTGGGATGGATGAGCTTGTGCACATTGGGCCCACGAGCTGTAGCTTGTCCCAAGGAAAAAATGCCAGCTTTGGCCTCAGCTAACGCCTTTGAAAGGACACAACTCACCACCACGAGCCCTAAAGTTTACAGTACAGCCCCTACAGAGCTGATGCAGCATAACCAAAATGGCAGCAATTGTGGTGTGGGTTGAGAGGGAATAGTGGGGACAGGGATCTGTCCCTGTGAGGCAACGTCACAAGTACTCAGTGCCTGAAGAAATGGCAGTAAAGCAGCTCCTGGCAAGGCAGTGTCTCCTTTTGTGCCACAGATGGAACTGCATGTTGCACAGCTGCTGTACAGCTCAGCAGACAGGGACCAGCCATCATGCCTGGCAGATAACAAGAGTCAAATGACCAAGCTATGGCACAATACCTGGAGCAGCAGTGCCCCCTCAGGAAACAGCTCCATGTTGAGCTGTGGATCCATCTGTCCATTTGCTCCTGGAGCTCTGGGCTGATCCAACTTGCAGTTAACATCATTCATAGCTGGGGCTGCAACTGAGAGGGCAAGAAATCAGCAAGGAAGAGGCAAGGCAGAAGCCTCTCGCTCCCTCCTTCCCACCCCAGTTCTGCTCACGCACGGCTGCACCACGTTAACTGACGCACATGGATCCAGCTCGGAGGAAAAGCAGAGCCCCTTTACAGAGTCATGCCCAACCTGCCCAATGCTTCCTCTGAGAGATTATATCCCCTGCTTGGTCCCATTTCTAAAAAACCTCGCTTCTGCCAAGGTCTGAAGCAGAGATGCAAAGGACAGAGGGGAGGCGAGTGCTTCTGGGCTGCCCAGGCCAGGAAACTCCACCCAACACAGCTAGGGCCCAGCAGAGCTAGAGTTGAGTTGGCTTCATGCCACCCCAGTGCCACAATGTCTGCTTCCCTCTACTTCACGGCTGACGAAAGACAGCGGCAAACCTTCCCAAACTATCTGAGATGCCCTATTTTTGGCTTCCTTTTGCCTTTGGCTGCTCAAAAGCAGATCAGAGGGTCGGTGACCATAGCACTACCACCCAGACACCTGGGGAGCTCTCAGCTCCCCAGACTTGTTGCCATGATCTCTCCAGGTTGACTCATGTGCTGCCTCATGCCTCCTGGCTAGATACCTTCAAGGCAACACCCATGGGTGCAGCCAATACGAAACCTCCTGCCCTAGTTGCAGGACCTTGAGCATCATGGGTCACACAGAAAACTGGTTGATCAGGGAACAGGAATGAAGACAGTGACTCCTGGGGACATCCCCAGTGTGGTACTTCATCTGCTGGGGAAGTATCATTGAAGAACTGAATCCAAACTCAACTTCCAACAAAAGGAGAATTTTAAAGGTATGGTTTTGTGTCAACTTGACCAAAAACCCACAGGAAAACCTCAGACGGGTCCCTGTGTAGGAACCACCCCACCCCTGCCACTACTGTGAGCTCCTGCAGAGCCCAAAGGTCAGACACACACCCCCTGCACAGCCACATCCTGGCAGAGCATCACAGCCTGTCCCATCTGAGCCCCGGGGTTTCTGATGGTCCCGCATGGCCTTGACTGAATCCAAAGGGAAAAGATCTTCTGAATTTGGGGGAGTGGTAGGAAATGAGTAAAAACCCCAAATCATCCCAAGTCTGACCACATATTTTATTTTCTCCATGGCAGAAGCTCTCTCTCAATTCACCATTGAAAGGTTTTAAAGGTTTCATAAAGGTTTGGCTGGTTGTTTTTTTTCCCCAGTAGCACCAAGTTCAAAGTTAAATTTTTAATCTGAAACTTCTGATATGAGTCATTCTGCTTTTCACCAAACCATCAATAAGCAAAATCATTTTCCCTGACAGAGTTCCACTTTTTGCATTAAGAACCAGATGGATGCTAAAACATTGCTCAGATCTATTTACATCTGGAGCCTGAGTGACAACAAGCACTCGCCCATGCAGGCTTTCAGCAACAAGGCACATGGTCAAAGATAATTCGGTGAAGGTCTTGCATAAGGTGACAGAGAGGAACCACACTGTTGCAGTCTCATTAAAGAGAAGTGGAGAGGATGCTCTGAGCCCATTAGGGAGAATTAACCTCGAGTTCTGTTGCAGATAGAACTACTTCAGCCTCCCTAAACCTCAAGTACTACTTGGAGATGCTCAGGCACCTGCCACATGTTCTGCCCTTTCCATCTTGTGCCTTCAATTGCTGGCGGAAAGCCTGGCTTGTGGGCAAATCCCACAGGACATGCTTTTCCCTTCTCAACAGCTCCCCTCTGGGTCACAAAATCTGCATGGCCCCTCATGTATGGTCACACTCTCATTTCTGCAGGGGACAACCCTCTGCAAGAACACTTCCCAAATCAGCAAGAAGTGGATCAGCTGGGTCAGGGGACCCAAAATCTCTGGGATAGGTTTGGAAAAATGAAACTTAACTCCAGGAAAGCAGTCCCTGTGCTCAGTTTCAAGGAAAGGCATGTCCCCAGGAGTTTCAAAAGGCAGGGTTGAAGCAGTCGCCAAGCAAAAAGTACCCTCGCTCCATTGTCAAGTGATCCGCAAGGAAAAACATCCAAAGCCCATCTGGACTATGGGTATGGCTTCAATTTGTACATAATGGAGCAGAATAGCTGCAAAATGAAACATTGATTCTTCTTTAAAGTTTGAATTTTTTTGAAAGGCTGACTTCTCTCTAAAGCATTGCAATGAGGCAAGCTGGCAGGGAAATTCAAAGAGAAATCAAGTTCTTCCAAAACAAAGCTCCAAAAGGGCAGAAAGCATTTTGTGAGGATGCACATCCTGAGAGCACATGGTCTCCAGCTCTCTCCTGGTGTCCAACAGCAGCATCTGCAGGGAGAGCTGCAACGAGCTGGGGAGAACTGCAGTGGGCTTACAGAATCCAACATGAAACATCTATTTGCTCATTTTGTGTTTTCCAGCAAAATTATTTATTTTTTCTATCTCAGCAAAAGGCTTTTACCCTCCCATCAGAGATGTTCACTTCCCCTTCTCTCAGAGCAGTTCATTTCTGCACAGCTGAGCTCCAAAGTTCTGCAGAATCTCTCTCCCATGGGACACACTATGATGTTCTGGCTTGGGAAGAAGGCTTAGAGCACAAAGAGAGGGTAGAAAACCCAATGAGATGGTATCTGCCAGCTGCTTTGCCACTCAGCATCACTACACTGGGATTTCAAGGTGTTAACTGCAGGGCATGGACTGTAACTGGTGCTTCTAAGCACTGGTGGTGTAGAGTAGCTGGTCTTCACACCCAGTCCACTCCCCACTATCCATGGGAAGAGGCCGAGGAGATGCTGAGGCCACTGCATGAGGCAAAAAGTGCAGAGATGCCTGGCATCTCCTTCCAGCAACACCAAGCCATGCACAACCATTTTCCCCTTGGACCTAATCCCAGACTCTGTCAGATTAGCACCAACCTTTGCCTCAGCTGTTTAATAAAGGCGTCATGCCAAGCAGAGCAGGCTCACGCCATCCAAGTAAAAAAGGCAAATGCCAAACCCACGGATTATAAACCTATTAGAAGTCGTCACTCAGCACTTTTCCAGGGAGAACAGAAATGCCCAGGGGAGCGCTGACAGCCTCAAAGCCCGCACCAACCTCTCCAACCTGCTGCTGCTGCAAATGCTCCTGCACAGTCCTGTAGGATCTTGCCCAGGGAGAGATTTTAAGTTTGACTCTTTTCACTACATGAGTTAACTTCAGGTCCAGACCCCTGCTGCTCCGGCCCATGGTGACAGCAAACAAGGAGATGAATAAAAAAGCTAACTTAATGCTGTCTGCAGTGCGATTACCCAGTGAAACCTGCTGCCAGCTGCCCCACAGCAGAGCATTGCGGAGTTGCACGACAGAGGTGGGAAGGGACGTGGCAAGGTCTCCCAGGCCAACCCTCTGTTTGAGCAGGTTCAGCTGGACCACGTTTCCCAGCACCATGAGCAGCCCCTTGCACAGATGGGTTCTTGGATCTGACTTTCCTAACTGCACATAATGGAGCGCAGGGATGGCAAATGTCTGAGGCTGCTGGTGGGAAGCACAGATATGGGAGGACTCACCCTGCCCTCCTCCACAGGCAAGAGAATAGAGACCCACCAGGACTCCAGCTCCCCTGGTGGCAGGACGAGTCACCCAGCACGTCCTTGTGGGATCCACCTCTGCACGAATATCTGCTGGTGCTCAAATGCTTGCCTGCAGGTCTAGGTCTTGCTGCGGAGATAAGAGGCTATCATCATCTTCGTTTTTTACATGAACCCTAGTAAACGAACTCCAGCACAGATCTCCAGCTAGCCAGAGATTTTCCAAGCTAGCTAGAGTTTTTCCAAGCCCCTCTGCCCTAAACAAATACACCCAAGCTTTCATGAGATCTCACTATTTGCAGCAAGTGGAGCTCCCGTCACAATATACTAAGCCCAGGGCATCACGGCAGCCAGCAGAACTGCAAACATACGTGGCTGCTTTTCTCCTTGGGCACTTACTTACTCTCAAGAAGAAAGGAATCAGCAAAGTCAATCCAGATATATCTGGGAGATCATTAGACACAGGTCCAAGCAGCAACCACTGCAGAGTGGTTTGTAGACGGAAGATCAGCACAGATCTGGTGGTGAGATTCAGCCATTCTTGACACAAGTGACAAAACCTTTCAGTGCCTTTAAGGCAGGTTTCGATAGCACCAGAGTTGTCATTGCTATCTACCAGCACTCAAAGGCTAGATGTGAGGAGCAAAGACCAGAAGAGACCAAGCCCTGAACTTGTCATGCTTTACCCATGTAACCCTGGGCAAGACTGAAACTTTCCCTGATGCTCAAAAGCAAGCTCTGCCCTGGGAGCAAGGAGGCTCTTCATCTGCTTCAAGAGAAGAGCAAACATGAGACTGCTTGAGTACTGCAGGTCCCCATGTGAGGTACAGCCAACTGCACAGGGCAAGCTGCTCCCCTCGGTGTGCACCAGCCACAAGCTGGTGACAAGTGCATGCTGCAAAGCAAAGAAAGATGGAAATTGGGACGTCTGGGTCTGTTCCTTCTCCTGACTATGGGGAAGACTCAAGCCCAGGGGACACAGCCACCACCTACTGGCACTTGGCACACATCACCTGAGGGCCACCATGGCCTGCGACGCACGTTTGCCATATGCCAAGCCCAAGACCGTGCTGTCTTTAGCTCCACCAGCGCTGGTCTGTGCAACCACCATGCTACTCCTAGGAGAGCGAGAAGACCAATCCTGCCAACTTTTGTACCGTGGCAGAGCTTGGCTAAAATATGCTGAGCTTTTACCAATCTATCTCAAAGTCCAGCCCCACCCAACCCCAGGAGAAGGAGCAGTTCAGGAGCTGACAATCATGGCCAATCCAGATGATTTCCCTGAACACTCAACTCCAAACTTGCATGTCAAATTTCCATTAATTTTTGGTTTAGTTTGTTTTTATTAATTTGCACAGGGAAGACTGTGATACCAGGCAGAAGGGAGCTGTGCAACATCTGCAGCTCTTGCATCAGCGGACAGACAAGTTACAGCAGATGTGTGTATGCCCCAAATGAGTCTGTGGAGATCTGGAGCTTCGAGAGCTTTCCTCACAATACCTAACCCTTGTTGTTTCCAGCAAACTACAAGTTTTTCTGGTTTCTCATTAAAGCACAGACAGAAAACACTTAAAACTAAAGCAGATCCAGTGAGTCATTACCCTGCAATATCATCTCCTGGTTTCCAAACAGCCTCAAGCTCCAGAAACAAGTCCAAATCCCAAAAGCACTTTGTTTCAACTTCCAAAAAATAAATCCTTGTGAGTTTCCAGCTGTGATCCTGCTGCCTATTTATCCAGCTGCAGACCCCAAGCATAAATCATGACAACCATGATCCTCCCCAGATGGGAGAGGGGAGGATGCAAAAGCTCCTGTGCACCTGCTGCTGACTCACAGCTCTCGTGGCCAGCCCTCACCTTGACCATCCCCCTTGCCGTGCCCATCAGCCAGCTCTCCCTCCCGCCCTGAGGAAGGTGACTGAAGAGCTAAAGGCACCATTACAGAGGAGTAACACGGGTATATCCAGGAGGGGACACTGGAGTTTCACATCATAGGATCATAGAAACAATAGTTTTGGTTGGAAGACACCTTCAAGATCATCAAGACCAACCTTTGTCCCAGCCTGACCAACACCACTAAACCATGTCCCTCAGCACAACATCTCGCCATCTCTTGAACACCTCCAGGGATGGCAACTCAACCACCTCTCTGGGCAGCCTGTTCCATGAACTTCAGGGTAGGTTGGTTGTTGGATTTTGAGTCGGGTGTTGTGGGGTTTTTTTGGATGCCAATTTTTAAATTTTTAAGAGAGAAACACATCAGGCAAGTACAAGAAAGCCTGAGCTTTGGGAGCCAATTCTCCAGAGAGTTTGGCCATCGATTTATTTTCTGCTTTGAGTCTGTTGACAGGAATGGGCAAACGCCATCAGGCAGAGGTATCCTGGCAAACACACACCCTGCTCAGTGCCCACCCACTAAGCCGGGTGGCCAGACAGACAGACTCCAACATGGGACCCACCTGGGTCTGATCCCATCCAGATGACATGAGACAAGTCCCTTTCCCTAGTATCCACCATGTAAACAGGCACTGATGGCAGCATCCAAACCCACTATGAACCCCTCCACTCTGTCCCACCCAGGACACTGCCCCAGACCCTGACTTCCTAAACCCCATTACATAGGTCTGTTCCCAGGCCAGAGGCACACAGTACCCACACACCAGAAATTCCAGAAAAGATGGAGAAAGTTGGAAACCTCTTCCTTACATCACTCCTTATGTAAGCAGCCAAGCAAGTTGCAGACAACACAGTCCTACAGCTGGAGAACAGAAGGAATGCAGTACAAGAAAATAAGGAGCCTCAGAACATCACTCTGAGCCCCCTTGCAATTTAGTTTCTGAGAGCTTGGACACCGGATACAAATCCAAACTTGCAGAAAGATAGATTCAGAGGCCACAACACAGTCAGCCCTGGGCACGGCTTCCTGAGGGACAACAGATTCAGCTGCATGGTGCTGCAAAACTCACCTCTAGGTCACTGAGCTTTTAACATGAACTTATCAGGAATTCCATTTGCTTTGTCCCTCAGATAAAGCAATCTTACAAAAGTCACTGTATGTGTAAACATTTACACAAAAATCTGTGCAAGCTGAGCTTGAAATCGAACATGCAAGATAAGAGCTGGGCTCATTCCCTCAAAGTGAAAGCCATGCTCGGTCCGAGATGCAGACTGGTGGAAACACCAAAAATTGGTAAATTTTTCCCCTGAAGAGTAGTCAACACCAAAAATAAAAGCTGTAGAGCTTGTCAGAAAACACTAACCATCCTTGCTGAGCTTTCAGTCCATCTACAGGAGCTGATGCCATTTCTGTCCTGTTCAGAGGAGGTCTTAAAAAACATTTCTAAAACAGGTCCTCCTTCACCAGTCACTGCTTGCTCACAGCACAGCCCTAGCCGGCATACGTCCAGGGTCACCCACCAGTACCTGCCTCCCTGCTAGACTGGTTATAACCACATACTTTGGCTCCACATACACTCTGTTAACCCTTTGCCTGGGAGAAAGGGCAAGTGCCCAGACTTAATAGAAATGCCTGAAAAGAGGAACTCCTTATCAATATGGCGCCAGTTAATGCTGCTTGGAGACAAGGCAATGGGTTTGGGCTGCTGATGGAGAAAAGCTGAGGCAGCAGAGGCCAGAGCTGCTCACGAGGCAATGCCATGCTCTCCTGCTGCAGGAGAGAAGCCCGCATGAAGCAGAAAGCAGACGACAGCAAAACTGATCCAGAACGTACAGCACAAGGTCTTTCACCATCTCCCCCCAAAACACCTGATGTGATACACCACGAGCAGGCTGCCGTGACTTGCACATCACAAGGGTCTGCATCAGGTAGGGCTTGAACTGAGGTTGACCTTGATGAATCGGTGGGATGATCTGAAGTCAAACAAGATGAACATCAGGGCAGACACGGGCAGAGCGAGGCGGCGTGGGAGTGCAAATCAAAGGCGCAGTGGCCAAATGGAAGTAATTGGCCTGAGAGAACGGGTGTCCAAGGAGGAGACAAGGCTGACACTGAACATGAATCCATGCAATGATGACTGCTTTTCCAAAGCGGCTCTCAGGCTGGGAAGCACATGGTGAGCACATCCAGTGGGAACTGCTCCTGCTCAGGGGCATGGGTCCCAGCTGAAGAGCTTGGCATAGGGGCCTCCTCCTGCGCACCAGCATCCCCAGCTGGAAAGGGTCCTGAGAGAGCACCTGAGGGACAGGTTACAAACCTGGCATGGGGCAAAAGCTAAGGAAGACAAGTTTATTCAGTCTGAAGGGGAGAGGACACGATAAGGAGCCTTTAAGTATAGACAGATGCTGATGGCTTCCTACCCTCCACATGCTCTGCTTTCACCAGGGTCCATCACCTGTCCCTTTGAGCCCAAGGCACCAGAGATGAAACATGTCCCCATACATTCATCCTGACCCCCCTCCACATGCCCATATAGCAGTCCATGCTTCCCCCAGCTGCAGGAGTCACCCCAGGCCTCAAGCATCGCTCTGTGGCATTTAAACAATTGCTTTTGGAAGCAGGTTTTGAAAGCAATCCCTGGCAGCTTTTCAGGCTTTATTTGCACTGCAGCCTGTGGTTCCTGTCCTGCTGTCAGGCACAGGAGCATGGTGACTCACAGCCATGAGGTGACTTACTCCCCGCGAGGCTCTGCACCCTCATACTCCCTCTTAGTCCAGACATGTGCTGGGTACCACAGGGTGCAGCCCCATCAGTAAGGAGGGGGCTGATCGACGCTTGTTTTCCAAATGTCAGTGGAGAAAGCAATGCAGGTTAATACTATGCCAGCACTGCCTTGGAAATAAAGACCAGTTGCATCCCTGAAACATCACATCTTGCCATCACTGCCTCAGGCTGCCTGCCTTCCCAGCTGCCTGCCCTGCATCTCATAGATGGCCAGGTAGTGAATTCTGGGTTTGCTCCCCCAAAAAACAGACAATGGAGGAAGAGACACTCAGCAAGGCTCACTCTCATCCTCAATTCCTCAGCCTGGGAGAGGCTGCTCAGCAGGGCATGGAATACGAGCACATCAGCAAAAAACTTCCATGTACTACGGCTGGGGCGAGAGGGCAGCCAGCAGGTCTGTGCACCTAGGATAGCTCAGCTGGCCTCCTCTTCAAAGTATTTTTCTTGCTCAAAGGCAGCACCACATCATGGGATGTTTAATGTGTACACGGGACCCCTGTTCATCAAATCCAAGGTCTGCAGAAGAACTCTGGAGCCCCAGCACAAGTGTTTTCACCAGCAGTAACTATCTCAGATACACCAATGACTGCTGAAAAGCAAACATGGCTTGGAGTGGGATGTAAGCTGCACAGTGGAGATTGACCCCAGGGGCTTTTTCACCTGTCATGATATGGACACTCACCCCTCAAGTAGCTCTTCACCTTCAGGTATCCAACAGCCAGCCGTAGGATGGAGAGTTTATCAAGGCCGGTGCGCACATCTTCAGGGAAGGGCAGCAAGCCAGTCAGCTTGTTCAGCTCCTGGTTAAGGCGGTCTCGATGCCGCTTGGAGGGGTTGGACTTCATGCCCTGAGGAGGTGGTGGTTTGGGGCTGGAAGAGGCAAAGGAGAGTTTAATCAAACTAGACCTGTCCATCAGGCTTTTCCAAAGCCAGTGTTGACTTTAGTTCAACCACAACAGTAAAACACCAGGTGGCCAAGGTAAGACCATGAAGTAGCAAACGCAAGCTTCAGCAAGGCCACACAGCAATGGCTGGAGGAGACATGGCCATCCCTTACGGCCACCTTGTGCACCCCAAGGCATGATGTTCTCCAGCTGGCGTGTGGGGTGATCCTCAGTTGGGCATCTTCATGTACAGCCTGGCTGAGACAGCTCAGCTGGATATTAAAACCTTGCTCCCACCTTTGTTCTCACCGCTGAGCTCCGGCAGAGAAAGGGACACTGAGGGCAGAGACCTACAAGCCATCAGAGCAACTCTTGGAGGTCTGGTTGGACTCTTCCATCCACACTCAGCTCTGTCCACTCTTTCTCTTCTTCTTCCTCATCCCATACCCTCCCTGTCCATGCTCCACATGCTCACACCAGGTCCTCACCATGGACAGCACTACCCTGAGTTGTTCAGAAGATCGCATCAGCTGTTTTGCCTGCCCAGGACCAAATCAGCTCTCAGGCAGGCCTTGGCAACAAGCATGCTAACAAATACCGAGAATGGAAAGCAGAAAGGTTCAAAAAGATTTTTCTTTTTTTAATTTACTTTGTTTTGCTGCTTTTAAATTTCCTGTGACTGCTCAGAGCCAGATTCTATCACTTTAATTATAAATATTACAAAGAGAAGCACACATGAAAATCAATGACAAGACCTAGACAAAGAGATGCTATGTAGGGCAGTTTAGGACACAGCACATAGAAACCAGCCTCTTTTTAAAAAAAATCTACATTTTTTTTTTTTAAAGAGTAGATTTTAAAAGAATAGTCTGTCCCAATATTCTGATTTCTGATCCTTTTGCATGAGTATTTCCAGCCTAAAATAATATCTGATGCCAAACTTAGGCGCAGTCTGCAGTAGCAATAGGGTCTGCAAAACCAGCTCTTGTTTGTCTTAGGTAGACATGGGGACCTGCCTTGTTATTTCACATGCTGCAACTGAAGTCCCAGACACAGCAGCAAGAGGTTAGTTAATAACTTTAACGAGTCTTGGATGACACGTTGTCTCCTTTGTTTTTTAACGCTGATTTGAATTTTCTAGCTTGAAGAAAAACCCTTCAGATCTCCCCTAATATGTGACTCTCGTTGTTTTGATGTAATTTGTCTAATCACAAACTCCTTTTCTGCAGGCATCCTTGCTTTGTAAAGCAGCTTCAGAGGACAGGATCTGGAGTATTTAGCAGCAATTTAAGTTCTCCCCTCTACTACCTCTCTTAAATCTCATCTGGCAGGACTGCTCACATGTGTGACAAGAGAGGAAATGAGCATTAAATGAAATGCAGTGATGTGTCTGTTTAATTTTCATTACAGAGAGCTACCAAGAGGGCTTCTAAGCATGAATGGGAAATTGCACAACTTCTCCAGAAAAGCTTGGTCGTGCTCTTTTGTAGCATAAACATCAGGAGGGATACACCCTGTGCTTCTGAGAGAGGCCGGGTACAACTCTTCACCAAATTTGTCCATACAAGCCGAGTAAAACACATTGGCACAAGTGCTCTTATGTACCCCATTAGACAGTGACTTAAACACTTCTGAAATTACAGTCACTCATCAGGAAGGAAAAAAATGAAATAGTTATTCCTTTGACTCTCTCTTAGAAAAAAAAATAAGAAAAAGAAAAAAGAAAGCTGGGTGAAGAAAATTATGCTGAGTTTCCTCAGACATTCTTTAAAGAAAAGTCCTCTGCCCTTATCCTAGTGTCTCTGTTCCTGCAGGTCCCCAGCTGCAGCACACAAGGTGCGTCACAGCCACCCTTGAGAGGAGGGATAACAAAGAGGAAAATGCCTCTTGTGACACCAGGCAGCACATTTCCACGGGCAAATGCTGCAGCCGGGAACTCCCAGGGCCAGAGGCTTCACAGTTCTCCATCCTCATGGATGCCACAGCAAAACAGCTTTCAGTTGCTCATGTCTGACAAATTCGTTTGCTCTCTGCCAGGCAGTTATGAAGCTCCAAAGAGCTCCATGTAAGCCAGCAGGTGAGGCCAGGAGAACTGCCAGCCCCCATAAGACATACTTACCATGGGAAACACATTGATCTTGAGCACAACCACTTTACTAGCCACCAGAAAATCTGCATGGGTAAGCACCACAGGAAATGAAATGTCTTCCCACTCATGGGAAGAGTGAAGCTTGGTCTGAATGTTTGAGATCTGTTTAAATTCCATGCACTTAGGGACTGTTTCCATCCGCACTGCAGGGTGGCAAAGAACTGGCAGTCTCTGCTGGTCCTGGGCACCGTGCAAGGCCATCCCAGGGATTCCTGCTACCCAAGAATAACCCCTGTGTCCAACGAGGCAGCTCAACACTTACTCAACAAGCAAGGAAAAGGCATTTTAAAGAGGTCTGACCCCTCCCATTCTGTTTGCAGGAGCCCTAATGTGGCACAGTCATATGAAATGGATACAGTGCAAAGCTCAGCGTGGCTGTGCCACAAAGTTCACAGTGAAGTTGCTGAGAAAAGCTGCTGACCCCTGTGTAGATGGGCCAGGGCAAAGCTGCAGGGAAAGCTCTGTTCCCAGCGGGGCAAAGGCTGTGCCGCTGCTGCAGTGTTGTTTTTCCCCAGCTGCCCTTTGAACAGGGAACGCAGCAGGAAGTTTATGAGTTTTGCAAGCTCACAAGGACTAAGTGATATTAACTAGTAACAACAGCTGAGGTTGCCTGAGCTGATATAGCGTCTCCTCATTTTTATTAATTTTTTTAATAAGTGAAAAGCCCTGAGCAAACTGTAAAGGGACCAGAGAACTCCCTAACCCTACCTTTCCCTCCCCATACATCCCACCACCCCCAGCCCTGCTCTGCCTAGCCTCTCCCAGCAAGACCCTGCTGCAAGATCTCACCAGTTGCAAGGGAAAACAATCTCTTCCAGTTCCTAAGGTTGGTCCTGTAGTATCAGGGATGAAGGTCCCTTCTGATCCAAAGAGACAACTTCTCCCGCACCCAAAGCCACACAAACTCGGCCCAAACCCTCAGCCTGGCCATACCAGCCCCACCATAGTGCTGGAATCACTGCTCTGAGATGAGCAGGAGAAAGGTTGGAGGCAAAGCAGCTATTTTCACACTTCTTGAAGACTCCCTAATAAAGCCCAAGAGAGGCTCTGGCTCACCTCTCCATAGATTTCAACATTGATGCTCCTCCTTCATCCTAGGCTTGGGCTCAGCTTAACCATCTCAACATACGTTTGTAACATTGATGCTCCCTCCTTTACCCTCTGCCTTCCCCCAGTGCTTACTGGAAATACATATACACCTTTATCGCCCATACTCCTGGTGAACTGAGGTAAACAGGCTGATGTGACTTAGGAGCTGCTGTGGGGTCCATCCCAAAGCCAGGAAACTCCAGTACCATGACCGGGGGCATTATACAAGCAGCAATTGAACAGCATGATAATTAACAATTAGGAACAGGGAACTTGTGGTAAATAGTAGTTGCTGTACATTGGATTGATGCAGGCACTGAAGCATCAGCCAGCCCGCAACTCGAACCAGAGGACAGCTGAGCAGCTCACACTCTCCAATGAGCTTTCCCACAGGAAAACTGGGGTTTGCAGGACAGTCATCGTTGGGATTTTTATTTTTTCACCAGCATGCCAGAGCCTACAAACCATTAGCTTCACTGACTAAAACAGAGTAGCCCAAGCGTGCTGTCTTCCTGCCTCTTTTGCTGCTTCAGTGCCCACATCAGAGCAGCTTAACGCAGCTCCCCGCCACCCGTCCGGCTCTCCCAGACCCGTTTTCCACCACCCTGCCTGGTCCCTCACA